AACTGGCCACATTTGGAATCACTGTCACTTGCAGATCCAAACTTCAACATTTCCAAGCCAATCGACATCTTGCTAGGTGTAGATGTTTACCATGAGATCTTGAAACCCGGTTTGATATTGGGACCAAAGGGAACTCCTGCTGCCCAAGACACAATCTTTGGATGGGTACTCTTTGGCAACACCAGTCCAAAACCAGTCAACGAACCAACAATTGCTAGAGAAGCCACAACAATGTTTGTTACAACATCACAACTTTCGTGTGAAGAAATTCTTCAAAAATTTTGGACTTTAGAAGAAGCTCCAGAAATAAAGCAAACATTTTCACCAGTTGAAAAACTTGTAGTAGAAGATTTTACTGCTCATCACAAACGTGACAAAGATGTCCGTCTCATTGTAAGACTGCCATTTAAGTCTGATGTTACTCCTCTTGGCGAGTCGCGACCTGAAGCGTTAAGGAGATTCCTGTCTCTCGAAAGACGTCTCCACAATCTAAAACTCTATGATGATTACTCAGCTGTAGTTAACGAATATTTATCGTCCGGACATGCTGAAAAGGCCCCTGTTAGCGAACTTGACAAACCTCCTTCAGAAACATTTTACTTACCTCACCACGCAGTTCACAAAGCTTCAACGACCACTCCAGTTCGAGTAGTGTTTGATGGGTCAATGAAAACCTCAAGTGGTGTTTCCTTAAACGACAATCTTCTCGTGGGTCCTACTGTCCATCCTCCCTTGAATGATGTGCTTATTCGATTTCGTAAACATCCCTACGTTCTCATCACCGACATCTCAAAGATGTATCGAGCAGTTGGCTTAGATCCAAATGATTGGGATTTCCATCGATTTCTTTGGAGAGATAATCCAAATGAAGAGATGCAAGAATATAGAATGAAGAGAGTCACCTTTGGGATAACTAGTGCCCCATTCTTAGCCACTAAATCCATTTTGCAACTAGCAGAAGAAAATCAAGCAGCACTTCCTCAAGCTGCCAAAGCGGTAAAAGAATCATTTTATGTTGATGATGGTCTTCCCTCAGTCAAGACGAAGGAAGAAGCCATAGTTCTTTACCAGCAATTACAACAACTCTTTCAGAAAGGTGCTTTTAAATTGCACAAATGGGACTCAAATTCACCCGAACTCCTCAATGCCATTCCAAAGGAAATTCGAAGTGTCACAGCTACAGCGAATCTGCCTGAATCAGACAACTTTGCCAAAACTCTTGGAATCGATTACAACTCGCAGCAAGATCAATTCCGATTCTCGGTGTCCGACTTTCCCACTGAAGAAACTGAACTTACTAAACGTTTAATATTATCAGATTCGGCCAAGATCTTCGATCCTCTCGGTCTTGTGTCGTGTGTTACTATCGTAGTAAAGATCATCTTCCAACGCCTGTGGGAACGAGGTATTGATTGGGACAGTCCGCTTCCTGCAGATATCGAAAGAGATTGGAAAGAGTGGAGAAATCAACTACCTGAACTTTCTTCACTGAGAATCCCACGTTGTTATGCTCCCATCAATTGTCAAATTGTTGACAAACAGTTGATTGGGTTCTCTGATGCAAGCGAAAGAGCTTATTCTGCCATGGTCTATTTAAGAAGTGTCGACACGGCCGGCGGTGTACACATATCTCTCGTAGAAGCCAAAACCAAGGTTGCTCCTATAAAGAAAGTATCGCTACCACGTCTTGAATTGTGTGGTGCCCATCTTCCAACCTCGTACCCAGGACTAGTCGCGAATTGAAGGCGGCGACATAGCCCTGGTAAACGCTGGTCACGTGACTCCAAAATTACGTAATTGTTACTTTTCTCAACCGGGGGGTGAATAGGTGAAACTCGAAGACAAACAGTTTTTATCTCCGAAATTCTTCAATCTTCCTTCTGAATTTTGCACTTCAAGCTTTTCTCAAAGTACGGCGATCGATCAAATGGATCAATACTTTCTGTAGAAAAAACTCAGTGAGATTTGTTCGTATGAGACGTTTAAAAGGCATGGATATGTCGCCAAAGACGCTCGATCATTGCACAGGTTTATGGTTTAGTACTTTGTTCAGTTTGTTGCGACTTATGCAAATTCAACTCTTGTATAATGACTAAAAGTTGGTTTGTAGAGGGACAACTTATACAAAAGATATGAATACATTAGCTTCAAACAGGGACAAGTTCATCTGTTCATGGACAATGGACATCCCTAATATATGGACATTGATATTTCACCAATATGTAAATATGACTATTAAATATATAAAAGGATTGCTGTTGTATTACTTGTATATGTATATGTACAAGTGTTGTGCTGTGGTATCTATGGACTAGAATTTCTGAGGGGGTTGAAAAAGCCGTTTCTGAGGGGTTGTGTGCATCGGCATGACGGCATCCTTTGATCTTTGCATTTTTTCTGAGGGATAAGGCAAAAATTTCTTAATTTCTGGGGGGGTGTTGGTGTCGGCACTTTGATCTTTTTTTCTTAGGGGTTCAAATTTTATTGAACTCGTCCATAGGGGGTGTATACATTAATTAATGGAATGCACCCAGATGCACCCTACTTTGTTAGTTTACTCTGTCTAACGCCAGACAATTTTACTCGTCAGGTGGAGGGTGCATGGCGCCATTCAATGGGTTAACATAGTCGATGAACTTGCCAAATGATCCTTGACCGTGGTAGTACATTTTTGCACTTGCTGGATGATATTGCAACGAAGCATTGTTTCAGAGGAAGAGCACTGAGATCATGCTGTGTAGCAATTGGAATCTCACATAGAGCCTGCTCTCACATAAAGCAGGCAAGACCTTCACTCAGAAGCCAGTCCTGATTAATATTAATTCCCCACATAAATACTTGGAAACCAGACTGTCCCATCTGCCATATGCAGGACAAAAAAACATGCAGCCTGGACTTTAACTTAACAACCAAATCAGCATGATAAACAGTGTGATGATTTTTGTTTAGCCCAAAGCCAGGTTTCTAGAATTAATTTGCAGAATCCTAAGAATTGGACCTCCAACTTGAAGAGCTAGCTGTGCTAACCAAGTTGCATGGGCAACCCTGAATTGACGTGACTAGAGCAAACCTTCAAAAAATAATAGAGAGATCAAATTTGACTTCCACTGCTGCTATTGCTACCATTAACTAGATAAGTTGCATTTATCCAATCAAACAATCGGATGCAACTGCCAGATCAAGTAGTGGTAGTGGAAGTCAAATTTGAACCTTTCTATAGGGATTTCAGAGAGACCAGTCATTATTTGCTGATATATTATTATAACTTGTTTAATCAAAAGCTACTATATATTAATTTATGATATTAAAAATTGATATAATTTTATCTATAAAGTGAGAATAATTTAAAAAAAATATTCATAACATAAAATGATTCACGCATGCTGGTGATTGAATAAACCATGAAGTGTGCATTCTGAATCTCTACAAATTCCTTGACATTATTTTTCCATTACAGTGTAAAACTATATATATATAAATGTGACACAGGTTGCAGGTATTAGGTTGCATGTCCACCAGTGTGCTGAAATACCATCCAGTGACCCGGTCTTGTTCATTGTTACTTGCATCTTGCTTAATTCAACTGTTTTTGCCCCATTTCTTGTACCCATTAAGTTCTTTTCAATAATCTAGAAAACTTCAAAATCATTCAGTAAATTTAATTTTAAAATTGGGTGAAAGGTAAGGGGTCAATAATAGATGAAGAAATCATTTCTTATTGTTCATACATACGGCCCCATCTCTGTAGGATATTAGAGTAGAAATTTATTGAAGCCTGAAGTCAGAAAATAAATATGGCAACAAGGTTACATGCCATACTGCAGAGTTAGGCAATTTTTTAAAGATCTCAAGGGCACAAAAGGTATAAATATAGATTGTAGGGGCAAGGGAACAAAATAATGAAATTGTGAGATTCGGGGGCAGGTTTTACAATGGGGTGCTAAAATTTTTCCCTAAAAAATCCCTGACCAGCTGGAGTGCTGAAACTGATGTTTGACTATTGAAATATCCTAGCAGGTTAGGTTCATCAGATTTTAGCTTTGTCAACCTGGCCACTCTGTTATTACAGTAATGGCTCATTTAAATAATTTCAGGTCATTACTGTAAATGTAAATACAAAGTATTTGAAGTTTAATAATACTGCTGTAAAATGTAGTTTAATAATATTGTATTAAAGTGTAAACACGTTTCTCAAGTCTGGCCATGTGTTTCTCAATATTCACAATATTTAACTACAATTGTACAAATTCAACTATATTTAATATTTCACTTCGTATTTAATAACATACTGTATAAAATATATTACAGTAAATAGCCTTCGAAATATATATTTCATAGAGCTAGACAGTGTATAAACAAAATAATGGGAATCTGCTAAATAATTTGTAACAATGAAATACTTCTAAACATTTTCAAATTCATATATACTGTACCTTTTTATACTTGATGGAAATCATCAAAAATAGTATGTACGAGATTGGCTCCATTTTCACTGCTTCGAAATTCGAAACATCGCCTCCTCGGCGATTTACATGATGCGATATAAAAGAAGATTGATGTACATTCGACGTAATATATAAACGTAACATATTAAGAAGAAAGATTACAACAAAAAATAAAAGAATATAAATAATCCGCGGCAATTCAAGATCCATTCGTGAACTTTTCGTCGCCCCCTGTCTTCATTTCCACAAAGCCCGCTCGCAGGCTAATACTCCAAGAATCTTGGAGTATTTGCCTGACACGTGACCAGCGTTTACCAGGGCTATGTCGCCGCCTTCAATTCGCGACTAGTCCTGGGTACGAGGTTGCCCATCTTCTAGCTCGTCTTGTAAAACATCTCAAAGCTGTCCTTGAAATTCCTACCAAAGATATCTATGCTTTTACGGACAGTACCATTGTATTGTATTGGATATATGGAACCAACCAACGGCTGAAAACCTTCGAAACAAATAGAGTCTCTGAAATCCAGGAAAGTTTACCTCCTGAGCGATGGAAACATGTCAAAGGAAATGAAAATTAACCCTGCTGATGCAGGTTCTCGTGGTATTCTCCCTAAAGATATTATCAATCATGACTTATGGTGGTCAGGACCGCATTGGTTAAAATCGGATCCGTCAACCTGGGAATCGAATCTGCCTGAATCAGACAACTTTGCCAAAACTCTTGGAATCGATTACAACTCGCAGCAAGATCAATTCCGATTCTCGGTGTCCGACTTTCCCACTGAAGAAACTGAACTTACTAAACGTTTAATATTATCAGATTCGGCCAAGATCTTCGATCCTCTCGGTCTTGTGTCGTGTGTTACTATCGTAGTAAAGATCATCTTCCAACGCCTGTGGGAACGAGGTATTGATTGGGACAGTCCGCTTCCTGCAGATATCGAAAGAGATTGGAAAGAGTGGAGAAATCAACTACCTGAACTTTCTTCACTGAGAATCCCACGTTGTTATGCTCCCATCAATTGTCAAATTGTTGACAAACAGTTGATTGGGTTCTCTGATGCAAGCGAAAGAGCTTATTCTGCCATGGTCTATTTAAGAAGTGTCGACACGGCCGGCGGTGTACACATATCTCTCGTAGAAGCCAAAACCAAGGTTGCTCCTATAAAGAAAGTATCGCTACCACGTCTTGAATTGTGTGGTGCCCATCTTCTAGCTCGTCTTGTAAAACATCTCAAAGCTGTCCTTGAAATTCCTACCAAAGATATCTATGCTTTTACGGACAGTACCATTGTATTGTATTGGATATATGGAACCAACCAACGGCTGAACACCTTCGAAACAAATAGAGTCTCTGAAATCCAGGAAAGTTTACCTCCTGAGCGATGGAAACATGTCAAAGGAAATGAAAATTAACCCTGCTGATGCAGGTTCTCGTGGTATTCTCCCTAAAGATATTATCAATCATGACTTATGGTGGTCAGGACCGCATTGGTTAAAATCGGATCCGTCAACCTGGGAATCGAAATTAGTTATCCCTCCTCCCCTTGAAGCTGTGTTGACATCTGGCATCCGAGAAGAAGATTTAAAGTTAAAGGATAAAAAGGAAGTCTCAATGCCGGTAAACACAACGAACAGTTTACCAAGGCCTGTAATCGACATCAATCGATACTCAAGCTTCATTCGCTTAATGAGAGTAACTGCGTTCATTCGCCGTGTAGTCACCAAAAAATACCTATTTACGCCACTAACGGTTGATGAATTACACAAAGCTGAAACATGGTGGTTCAAGAAAGTACAGTCTGAAATGTTCTCTGAAGTCATCGCTGTACTTAAGAAAGGAAAACAACTATCCAATAAACACTATCTAAAACCCCTAAACCCATTTCTCGACTCTGAGGGTTTGCTGAGAGTTGGTGGACGCCTTTCACAATCACAACTAGAATTTGACTCACGTCACCCTTTAAGAGGCAGCCCGTGTAAAAACCGACCACTCGAATTTCTTAAGATTACAGATTTCCTTCAAACTTTCTGTGTGGAAGAAGTCATTCATAAAATGAACAAAAAACGTTGACTTTGAAATTGTAGTCAGTTTTAAAAATTTTTTCGCAATTATTTTCGGACGCGTTCGAAAACAAGTTAAAACGTTAATTACGCAAGTGATATTTGAGCTTTTTATATCTCACAGTTCATCTCGCGCTTTTATTCTAACTTCTTGAAACTTACATATTTTATTATTTCCTACCTAGGCATAAACCTAAACTAAAAATTATCCTGATCGCTTGAAGCAAACAAAATATTGTGTATTTTTAAAAACGTCTTTCAGACAGCGGATTAAATATTCGTGTTAGTATGCTGGCGGTAAATTATTTTTTCTCAAAAGTGCAACGGTATCAGGTATCCAATATATTGCAGCTACTGAGTATTATGACACATCTACTAGAATAAATAATAAAATCTTTGGGCAGTGTGTTTTTCGCCTGACAAGCGCGTCATGAATATAGTCAATTTTCGCTAATTCGACTAATTATAAGCTATAATTTGTTAATGCATTTACTTAAATTTTTCGCGTTAAAAACATACAAAATTGTTCACTATCTTTCAAATATGGCTGTTTTTTGGATAGAGACTAAGTTATAAATATGCCAGCATTTATGCTAGCTTTATAACATAGAGCAAAAGTCTTAACGCATGTGCCGACTGAAATTGACATGCGCATGCACGCGTTGCTAATTTTATCCGCTGGTATTATCTTTTTATTATTTATCAGTGTATGAAAGCACTGTAAACATACTGATCTTGGTAACTAAAACTATATGCACCGATTTCCTCCGAATGTACACATCTATCACAAGAGAATATTAGAAGAAAGTATATTATACAATTTATTAGAGAGTAATGTTTTTCGCGTGAAAAGCGGTTCATATATAATCCCCGTCATCGCTTGAAGTCGGTCAACGCGTAATTTCAAGTTTTTCTTCGCTTTCTTAACAGTATATTTATATCGTAAAATCATTACAATCTTAACTCGTTGAAGTCGATCCAATAGATATATGAATCCCGAACGCCTATGAGTGTACTACTATACATTTATATTGCTCTCATGTGCATAGAGAGACAAGGTACGAAATTAGAATCTATAAACAATCAACTTTAATACATGCATCTAATGCATGGTTGGGTATACAAATACGTTTTGATGTAAAAAACGAATTTCTTTCTTGTCAGTGCTTTGAGCTATTAGGCTATATTAAAACCGACGAAGCATGTAGTAAGCGCATATATTAAGTGAAACTTATTCTCAAACAAGACTGCATGTCGTAATCTCTCTGAAAGGGCGAAGCAGTAACTAAAGGGTGTATATATAGAGGCATCTAACGGCAAGTGATTTAACGATCGCACGGAGGGGTTATTAGAGACCTTACGATTTTAGGACGGCAACGCGACGACGACGGCCAAAACAAACTCCCTCAAATAAATGGTAGTATTAAAGCCCACTATTTGTTGTATATTAGTTTCTCATCCGGAGCTTCTCCTAAAGTGGATGCGGGCTGGCGGGCCAATACCATTATGCCATTATTTGCTGGATTTCCCCTCCCCATAAAATTTATTTTGGAAAAGTGCGCATTAAGCATTTATATAGCAACTTTCTGAAAAACAGCACAAAATCAGTAAGTGCAACTGAAAGCATGTTTTCATAATTTTGTACCCAGAACGTCTGGCGTTTTTCTCCCCTGCCCCTGGCTTCCGGTAGAACTTTTATAGCTGAGTTTGGATATTTAATAAGTGTGTACGTAATGCGGGAAAAACTTGCAGTTTGGTTATGAAATTTTGTATTTTAACTAACATTTGGTTTGGGAACGTTTCTAATTTCACTTTGAAGACATCACAAAATTTATAATAATGGTCAAAAATGGCAATAATAATGGCGAACGAGGCCATTTAAAGCATGCGAGCGGGGATGAGAAACTAATATACAGCAAATAGTGGACTAAAGACAATTCGTGGTATATTAGCAATCGTATGAATTTAATACAATCGTATGAATTTAATGGGTTTTATGTTTGGGAAGAGTTCTGCTGAAGCCAGTTTGAAGTTGCACTTGTTGCGGCTTGAAGTGCAGCTGTTGTATCAAGACGTGAAAATCTGTGATTTGGCGTTGTAAACAAAGCGAGGACAATGTCTAAATTATTCATATATTGCAATTATTGAATTCTTTTTAATTATTTATTGTATTCGTAGCCGTTGCTGTCCTAAATCGTAAGGTGTCTATTTAAAAATCGGGGAACCATGCAAGGTAAGCATGGTTAAACATTTTTCGAGTATGCGGACGTATGTATGCACATGCATGGTTTACGCTACTCATACGTTTCTCTCACACGCAATAGTGTGACAGGACCTTAACCGAGATCAGCATGTAATTGCAGTTCTTAAAAAAAAACGGAAAATATTAAACATGTATAAAATATTTGTTTCATTTTATAGTGGCAAAATAAATCTGCACTATGTCTATGATGAGAAAAAAGTGCTCCTTCAAGGCATTCGTATAAATTGGCACACATATATCCTTTCCCGCACTTTTCTTATACATTTTTGTTTATATAACCATGCATGTAGTATTTAATGATACCCATAAACGTAAAATTTCAAGAATATATAATTGCTGGCATATTTATAACTTACTCTCTATCCCAAAAACAGCCATATTTGAAACAGTAAACAGTTTTGTATGTTTTTAACGCGAAATATTTAAGTAAATACAAAAAAAAATTATAGCTTACAATTAGAGGAATTAGCGAAAATTGACTATATTCATGACGCGCTTGTCAGGCGAAAAACACACTGCCCAAAGATTTTATTATTTATTCTAGTAGATGTGTCATAATACTCAGTAGCTGCAATAGCATACTAACACGAATATTTAATCCGCTGTCTGAAAGACGTTTTTAAAAACACACAATATTTTGTTTGCTTCAAGTGATCAGCATAATTTTTAGTTTAGGTTTATGCCTAGGCAGGAAATAATAAAATATGTAAGTTTCAAGAAGTTAGAATAAAAGCGCGAGATGAACTGTGAGATATAAAAAAGCTCAAATATCACTTGCGTAATTAACGTTTTAACTTGTTTTCGAACGCGTCCGAAAATAATTGCGAAAAAAATTGTAAAACTGACTACAATTTCAAAGTCAACGTTTTTTGTTCATTTTATGAATGACTTCTTCCACACAGAAAGTTTGAAGGAAATCTGTAATCTTAAGAAATTCGAGTGGTCGGTTTTTACACGGACTGCCTCTTAATAATTAACTTATGTATTCGTAAACATTTATACTCAATAGCATAGTCGATATGTAAAATGGTACATTATATGGATCAAACTGGAACAAAACAACAACTGAAGTTCTAATTTTGGGAAATTTAGTAGCAAATATAATCCCTAAACAGCTCATCGATTTGTATGTTAGCGCTATTAAAAGTAGACAATATTGAACAGTGATCTGAAGTTATTATGCAACTGACAACAATATTATATCTCAAAATACCTGTATATGATGATATTTTAGAAATATATCAGGATTTTTGGACCAATTTTAAACTTAGCAAGGCAAAAAGTCTCCATTCAAGAATATATGTTCTTCTCAAAAGGTAAAATACTTAGAATACTTGATTAAATTGTTTACTTCGACGGTATATAAATTAACAGTGTTTGCTTGCAAGACGTCAAAAACGGACGATTTCAGCGCGCTGTTGTTTATTGCGTATTCATTTGCCCAAAGAAGTATTTACGTCAATTGAAAGCTTGTTTATTAAACAATAATAATAATTTAATTCTTCAGTGCGCATTTACAAAAATTTCTCAATGCTCATTACAATGGTATTACTTATTAATACAGTATATATTAGATTATATAGTTAAAAATTTGCGAATACTAAGAACTAACTGTAAGCTTGGTTAAAAAGAAGAGTCTTAAGTTTGTTCTTAAAAATATCAACAAATGTCTCTAGTCTCAATTCATCAGGCAGGCTATTCCAAAACGCTGATCCAGCCTTCCTAAATGTTCTATCGCCATATGTTTTCGTGATTGTCCATGGTTCTTGAAGCAAATTTTTAGAAGCAGATCTTAAACACCGCGAAGGCTGATGTATTTTCAGAAGGTTTTGAAGATAGGATGGAGCCAAATTATTTAAAGCTTTAAATACTATTAACCCAAGTTTAAATGGGATACAGCTTTCTATAGGAAGCCAATGAAGTTCTTTCAAAATGGGAGTAATATGCTCTCTTTTATTTGACCTTGACACAATTCTAGCGGCTGTGTTTTGTACAAACAGCCAACTAGTAGAAGCATGATCGATTTGGAGCTTTATCCCATAGTGAAAATCGGTTTTGTTAAAGGGATCGTAAATGAAGTAAGATAGTGGTGCTCCAAAACTACGATTATTTCTATTCCTAAAAGTAACTCAGATTTCTTGTAAGTCACGTACCCGGTCCTTTGAATAACCGAAAACAAGATTCTTAGGGTTTTAGATCGATTATAAACGGTTGTCGTCGTGAAATTTGTCTGTAAAATCAGCGCATATTTTCCCAGACAAAATGGCGATTTAGGGTGGTCGTGTTAAAATGGCATTTTCTCAAAGTTAAAAAAGCATTTGGCCTAAAAAAATATATGGTGCATTTTCCGATATAATAAGGTATATCTGGGCAAAATTTGAGCAAAATCAATTTTTCAGTCTTGGCCGCGAAATATCTCATATGTTCGATTTTTACTGACATTCACTCTTAAGTTTTAAACTATTAATAACATTTATAAGTTATAAAAATAAATGGGCACTAGCATTGAAAAAGATGTTATATTGGGTCATTCCAGAAAACATCCATACCACCCCCATGGAAGAAAGGGAAGTTAACCCCCTACCCCCTTCGGATGTCCTAATACATTTACTATTATCAGAAACAATTTTTTCTCCCCTCCCCCTCCGGATGGCAGAAATTTTCTCCATAGATCTTTTCTGCAGTGCCGGATTAACCATATGGTTAACCCCGCGCTTTTGGGGGCCCCGCGCTTCTCTCTTCTATTTTTTTCTGAATTTTTTTGTTTTCTGTTTTAGCGCGGGGTCCAAACAATGCGCCAGAGGGGGGACCCAAAGAGCCTAAGTCCCCCCAGAAAACTCGAGGCCCCAAAAAATCGACCCCAAACGTTTTCTTTTTGTTCCCTGTTTTAGTGTTTCAGCGTGGGGCCCCAAAGAGCCCAAGGTCCCCAGAAAACGTTATAGGCCCTCAAAATTTAAAAATGGAGGCCCCAAAGTGCGGGGCCCCAAACGATTTTTTGTTCCCTGTTTTAGCGCGGGATCCAAGGCCCCCAAAGAGTTCAAGGCCCCCAAAAGCGAAACCCCAAACTAAAAAAAAACGCGAGGCCCCAAAGTTAAAAAAGGCGAGGCTCCAAAAGCAGGCCCGCAATCACAAAATTTTTTGTTCCTTTGGGCAACAGGCTCCAAAAAGCGATCGCAAGGCCAGAAATTCATAGGGTTCAGATATATACTCCCATATCGTTTAGCCCGACCCTAACTGCTAACTCCAATCTCGGCTTAAAGTCGGCTATAATTTGATTTGAACACGAGCTCATAATTTCTCTACTCCCCAAGGTAAACAAATTGTCCACAGGGCAAAGACATTGTTCAAAAACTATATAGCATCATCGTACACAGCCGAAAAAGTATAGACCCATGATCGAGTAGACCAAGTGTAGATATATCGCACCTTAATAAGTGGCTACATTATATATCTATATGTCGAATGCGCGTGTGTAAATAGTAGGCATGCCAGGAAGTTTTAGCTTCTATATTTCAGTGAAACTTTGTATGTGCCTGAATGGGTCATGCGTCTGTTAAAGGCAGATTGAAAAAATGCGTTTCCTATTGGAAACAAATTGGGGCGTCCAAGTTTATTATACATACTATAGAATCTGGTTATAAGATACCTTTTTTCGGGACACCTACACCTTATGCAGGTACTAATAATTCCTCCACGCGAAAACACATATCGTTTGTGAACGATGCCATAACTGAACTTCTGTTGCAAAGATGCATAGAAGAGATTGAAAAGCGTCCGCTTATAATTAATCCTCTGTCAGTTTCTATTCAATCGTCAGGGAAGAAACGTTTAATTTTTGACCTTAGTAGACCAGGCGGAGAAGGGGGGAATAGTCCCCTGACGGGGAAATTTATGAAACCAAGTGAACTTGGTCAATTTTGGGGTGCTGAATTCGAAAATCGTTGGTATACAGGCCGTGGACGTGGCCTTCAGCCTCGTTTTCGCGTTTAAAGCCTCGTTTTAATGCGAAAACGTTATCTGCTTGATTGAAGCGAAAACAATGAATAATTTGTTTAATATACTCACTTTTAGGTATTTTTAGGTGCAGAATTCGAAAATTAATTGCATTCGGACGATAAACTGGGCCATCTGCCTCGTTTCCGAGATTTATAGCCGCGTTTTTACACTTTGAAACCATGTTTTCCGATTTTAGTTACTAATATATTTAAATTACACTTTATGCACGCATGTTACCAGTACAAGGCAATGTGTCATACTTTAATGCGTAAAACAGGCCATTTTGTGTAGAAACATGAAATTTTTTAGCCCCGTACCGAGCTGACGTTTGGGCATATTTAATTTTAAAATTAGTACGTTCTCGTTGATCTCTTGCAATGTTGCAAAATATCCCAAATTCGCGATTTCTCTGTTTTAATTGATTAGTTTGAATAAAAAAGCATTTCGATGCGGACAATTTATCTATTTTTCTAGATCTTAAGTGCTATAAGGTTTTTAACGATCGGTAAACATAAATATCCGCGCGAAAATGCTTGGTCTGAGCAAAATAATTATTACTGAACAAAATAATTATTGGCGGAAGTTGTCGATTTCACGCTGTAAACAACATTAAAAACATAACAGAATTCGAAATGTTATTGTTTCACAGTTCATCGAATTAGCAATCAAGAGTCGTTTGAATAGGTTTTAGAGATGATGTAGGAAGAAATGGCCGATTGTGTTGTTCACTATGACTCACTGACACATCTAGTGATAAACTGATTCGACCAAGTGCAAATACATTTGAAACTTTGCTCGAGTGTAAGAAAATACGAGAGAGTCTGGGCGGTGAAAATCATCACATTGATCAATGCAATAAAATTCCAGAGAATTTGGGAGAAATTGAGTACTTCTACCATCGAAAATGTTTTCAAAAGTTTGTATATGCCAAAACGTTATTGAAACAGAAAACAAGCCAAGACAGCTGTCAAGGTTCCAATAGCAAGCTTCAAAAATTAACAAGAAAAACATCACAAAGACAAAGTGATGAAGCTACTGGCTCTAGAGGACTGTTCCCGAATATATGTATGATTTGTAAGAAGAAGGAGTTAAGGGTTAAAAGTGTATGCCAGTCACTATCTAGGATTGTCACCGATACTGCAGAAAGAACACTAAAAGAAGCTGCAATTGCTCACAATGATTTAGAAATGATGACAGCCGTCACCGAAACTGATTTGAAAGCAAAAGAATTTCAAAAACACGAAAAATGCTATCTTGACTATACTAGAGTCGTCAGGAAAACAGCTGAATCAACCGAAGGTGGAAATGATGACAAACAATCAGGGGACTACAACGTAGTACTTTCTTTGGTAGACAGTGATATTATAGGCGGTCAGCAATGTTTGTCAATGGAAACACTAATGACAAGATATTGTGGTAATATTGGAACAAGGCAAAGCAGACACAAGCTGAAGGAACGCCTTACGAAGTCATTTGGCGATCAAATAGTTTTTCTTCAAGCAGAATATCATATTTCGCAAGTGGTGATAAGTAAAGAATGTTTGCACAATCAGATGATTTCGGGAAGTTCTACACGTATTCAACAATCCGCCTTAAAAAGGGAAGCATCGTTTCTGCAAGA